CCTGCTGATAAAAAAAATCTTTCCTATTTCCTATTGATTTACTCTCTGAAAATGTTTTCTGCCATTTTATGGGATTTGGGATCGAAGGAAAACTAAAAAAGGAGATCCATCCTCATTACTCGGGCATCTCATCCTCCTTCCCCCCTCCCTCCCTCCTTCCTCCCTTCCAAAGAGGGGAGAGATAAAAATGCAGGAAGATGCTCCGAGTTCTCACGTCTCTGGCAGGTAAGAGGTCACTCAGCTTTGCAGGAGGTAGTCGGTGGGCTTGCATTTAGCCCCGCCCCGCCCCGCCGAGGCTATGCAGCCCTCCTGCGCTGCCTCAGAAGCCGCAGCTTAGAAACCCCTCAGGCGAGGCTGCCCTAACAGACACTTGACCTTCCCGCAGCTGCGAGGAGACAGCATCAGCCTGAATCACTCAAGGCCTTAAGGAAGTGGGGAGCGTGGAGGGCAAGGAGGGTCGTGTGGAAGGGCCTCCTGGAGATTGGGGCGCGCTTTAGAAGGAAAGGTGCTTAGTCATCCCGGCTCCTTCTGGAAAGCCCAGCTCAGGGCCTTCCGAGCCTCTAGGCCCGCTCTCCGCACTGGGCGTGTCCCAGGGACGGGATGCCTGCAGCACCTCTGTGCTTCCCCCAGCAGATGCCGGTAAATAACTTGAATACATTGTAAGCATTTGAAAGAAAGTATCCGATTTCTATGTGGTCTGGCCTGCTGTAGTCTCTCAGATCTCCAGAGCATCTCAACTCATTCCTGTTCGGACTAGAATTAACACCACTGCCCCTATTTATAGATAATTAGACTCAAGAGGGAATCCAGCCCCAGATTAGTGTCGCCTCTCGCCTCCTCCCACCTCCTGCTTCTGCAGTCACCATTTCCACCCTGGACCCTGAGCTTCCCTTCTCTCTTTCCTGAAAAGCTACCAAACCCTAAAGAGATTCCAGCACTCCGACACCTGAACGGGGACGACCTTCTTCTGCTGGCCAGTTCAATAAAGATCCGACGCCTGTTTCATAAACTGGAAGGATGTGTGAATTTCCCCTCCAGCCAGGTTTGGGAAAAATTAAAGCAACCTTCCTACCTTTCTTCACTTTCTCTAAAACTAATTGCCCTTTGTCACAATTCTGGTATGAAGCAAGATACAATAACAACAATAGCAGCTTTGATAAATGAAAACATTTAAAGACAGTGATGGTGCTTTCCTTTGTTTTCTTGAGTTTTTCCGGGAGGGGGTGTTGGAGATTTCAAGAAAAGTGTATAAAACGACTAGGAAATACCAAGGAATGTGCTTTATTACAAATTTAGAGCACATCCAGAGTCATCACTGGTTGGCATTCTTGGTGGGAAAACTAACAACTCACTCTGAGGACAGCAGAGAACAAGCAAGTCAGCCAAAGTGCCCCTATCAGCCAGAGTTCCATCAGGAAAACCGAAAAGCAGGGAGGGAGCAGGTGCTTCCACAACCTTCCCCTTCCTAAAGGCTGGGAAAGTGAAGGTCAAGGAACTGCCCTGAGGTCGCTGGGGAAATGAGGGAATCTCAGGAAGCCAAGAAGCCAACAGCACCAAGGAAGAGCTGCAACCTCACATCCCGGCCGGTGCAAGACAAACAAACAGCTACCCCCCTCCCCATGTCCACCCTCCTGCCAGAGGTGAAGGATGGCTGCTGCTCCTCTCCCACCTCCCACACCTCAGGCAGCTGCCTCCCCCTGGGGAAACATAATGGTTCCCGCCGTTAAAGGGTTATGGAACAATATGTATCTCCCCTTCTGAGGGGAGGGAGGAGGGATGTTGCTGGATCTGCAGTGATGGCCCAGCACAGCATCCTCTGCTCAGTGATGAAGATGCTTCAGAGCAGAAAGCAGAGTTGAGAGTCGGATGTGGAGAACCCTAAAGACTGGAGCGCCCAACCCTGCCCTCTCCTGAACTTCTCTGACTTCTCAGTTCTCTGTTCTTTGGGAGAGGGAGGAATGTAGTTGGAGGGGCCATTCCTTATAGTGAATAACGCATTTGGTGCTAAGGTGTAGCAAGAGAGATTAAGCCTATCCACCGGTGATTGATCAGTCAGCGTGAGGTACTAAATCATACTGTTTTCCTACTAAGAGCCCGCTGAGGAAGCATGGGGAGAAGGAAGGGACAGGAAGAGTGGAAGGATGCTGTGTCCCAGGGAGGGCTGAGTGCTGGGCAGCACGAAGCAAGTGAGCTACTGGGAGACTAGGGGCTGGTCTTGGTATTAATCCATTCACCACCTTTTTGTTTAAAGCTGCCTTTAACAAATTTACGGTTACCAAAGGGGGAAGCGGGTGTGACGAAAGAAACGGAAGAACAGCTTCAGGGCTAACAGCACATTTTGGCTTCTGTAAGAAACTTGCTTGCTTGCTTGGGGCGGGAAGAACCGGGTTCCTGACTGGCTGATTGAAAATTAAACAGCTCCCTCCCGCCTTGGGGACTTCCCGCCCTGTGAAGGGTATAAAAGCCTCGCCTGACTAACGGGGTCTCACTCACTTCTTTCCGAGTGGGACCCTGTCCGGACAGTTTGTGTAAGCTTCTATACTTGTATAAATCCTTTGCTAATCTTTCTACTTGGTGTTGGTGATTCTCGGATGTCCTTGGTTGGGACACGGGTCGCATTTACCGGGGAACTCGACTCCAGGCGTGTGGCTCCCGGACCGCAACACGGGTGGGGGAGGGATGAATTAGGAGTTTGGAATTAGTAGATACAAACTACTATGTACAAAACAGATAAACAACAGGGCCCCACTGTATAGCATAGGGAACTATATTCAATATCCTGTAATAAACCATAATGGAAAATATGAAAAAGAAAATATGTATGTATAACCGAATCACTTTGCTATACACCAGAAACTAACACAACATTGTGAATCAACTATACTTCAATTAAAAAAAAATTTTTTTTTAAAGCTGCCTTTAGGGGACTTGTCTGGTGGCACAGGGTTAAGAATCTGCCTTCCAATGCAGGGGACACGGGTTCGATCCCTGGTCAGGAACTAGATTCCACATGCATGCCACAACTAACAGTTCTCACGCCACAACTAAGGGGCCCACAGGCCGCAACTAAGGAGCACGTGCCGCCAACTAAAGGAGCCAGAGAGCCACAACTAAGGAGCCCACCTGCTGCAACTAAGACCAGGCGCAACCAAAATTTAAAAATTAAAATAGAAAAAAAAATTTTTTTAAGCTGCCTTTGGGCTTCCCTGGTGGTGCAGTGGTTGGGAGTCCGCCTGCCAATGCAGGGGACATGGGTTGGAGCCCTGGTCCGGGAAGATCCCACATGCCGCGGAGTAACTAAGCCCACGTGCCACAACTATTGAAGCCTGTGCGCCTGGAGCCCGTGCTCCGCAACAGGAGAGGCCACCACAATAAGGCCCATGCACCACGGCGAAGAGTGGCCCCCGCTCGCCCCAACCAGAGAAAGCCCGTGCACAGCAATGAAGACCCAGTGCAGCCAAAAATAAAATAAATAATTTTTTTTTAAAAAGCTACTTTTAATTACCTTACTTTTTAGGAACTGTGTCAACACTGAGAATTCAATTTTCTTATTTTTTCATTTCCATCCTTGCTCATCTCCACTGCTTTCTGAAAAAGAGGTTCTGAGGCTTACGTCTTGATCAATGCTAAATGTCTCTTTCTCTTTCTTATTTTTGCCTTTTGCCTCTTCCTTTTCACTGATAAGTGAAATTTTATTTTCTACAAAGTGAGACAGAAATATTGAGCTAATATGTTTCAATATAGCTCTGAAAAATAGCATATAACAGTATAACATGTAACAATCACAACAAAGCCTTAACTGGATCTGTTTTTGTACATCATTAAAAACTATTTTTGGGTGTGCTGAGCCCTAGTGGATACTGAATAAGGCCTTGATTAACTGGAGGTTGGCAGGATAATGAGACAACATCTTTCAACAATTTTGCTTCATGTTTAATAATGTTAAATTATTTAAAATAATTTATGTGTAATAAAGCAATTTATGCTGCTTCTTTAAAATGTATTAAAAATGAAAATGTTTATATCTACTTCTAGCTATCTTTTACGGTCATATTTCAAGGCAACTGTATTTATTGAAGGGACTGAGTTGTTAAAAATAACAATAATGATAAATTTTATTTTGAGTATCTATGTAAACCAAAAATGCATTGGGATATGCCACAGATTTTATTTATCATTGTCCATTTTTCCACTTCTCTGTTTCAGGTAATCTTGGTTTTGAATAATCTATTCTGTTAATTCATGGGGTGTTTTTTTTTTTCTTTTTCACAATAAAAACCTCTTCAAAAAATTAATCTCTTCTAGGAAACCATAAATAAAACAAAAAGACAACCTACTGACTGGGAGAAAATATTTGCAAATGATGTGCCTAACAAGTGCTTAATTTCCAAAATATACAAACAGCTCATGCAGTTCAATATCAAAAAAAAAACAACCCAATCAAAAAATGGGCAGAAGACCTAAAGAGACATTTCTCCAAAGAAGATATACATTGCCAACAAACACATGAAAGAATGCTCAACATCATTAATCATTAGAGAAATGCAAATCAAAACTACAATGAGGTGTCACCTCACACGGGTCGCAAAGAATAAGTCCACAAATAATAAATGCTGAAGAGGGTGTGGCGAAAAGGGAACCCTCTTACACTGTTGGTGGGAATGTAAATTGGTGCAGCCACTATGGAGGACAGTATGGAGGTTCTTTAAAAAACTAAAAATAGAGTTACCATATGATCCAGCAATCCCACTCCTGGGCATATATCTGCAAAAGACGAAAACTCTAACTTGAAAAGATAAATGCACCTCAGTGTTCACAGCAGCACTATTTACAATAGCCCAAGACATGGAAGCAACCTAAATGTCCATCAACAGGTGAATGGATAAAGAGGATGTGGTACATATATACAATAGAATATTATTCATCCATTAAAAAATGAAATAATGCCATTTGCAGCAATGTGTATGGACCTAGAGATTATCATATTAAGTAAAGTAAGTCAGACAGAGAAAGACAAATATCATATGGTATCACTTATATGTGGAATCTAAAAAATAGTACAAATGAACTTATTTACAAAACAGAAACAAACTCACAGACATAGGAAAGAAACTTATGATTACCAAAGGGAAAGGGGATGGAGGGATTAACAGAAACACACCACCATATATAAAATAAACAAGGATTTACTGTATAGCACAAGGAACTATATTCAATATTTTGTAATAACCTATAATGGAAAAGAATTTTTTAAAAGTATACACTTAAATATATAGATATGTATAACCGAATCACTTTGTACCTGAAACTTAACACAATATTGTAAATCAACTATACTTCAATAAAAGAAAAATTAAACTCTTCTAGCCATACACCTGAAAACACAATACACCTGCAATTAACACAATATTGTAAATCAACTATATTTCAATAAAAGAAAAAAATTAAACTCTTATAGCCATAGTTGTCATATAGTAATATTGCATAAATTGAGGGAGAAGAAAACACTCTACATGTGTAGGTTTTTCCAGATGTAAATTTCAAAAGAATTATTGATATACTTAAAGCTTAAAGTAGGACTACAAATCCTTGTCTCCATTTATTCCTGATCTCAGGATTTTCACTTTTTTATTTTGTTCATGCATATTTTACATTTTATGTGTACCATTTTGAACAGATAAAATGATAATCTTTGAGAAGATACATATATGCACTTCAATGTAACTGATAAGAAATGAAAACTTCCTGCTTCAGGTAAAGCTGGCAGCAAAGCATGTCAGCAAAGCCTTGGGGAACTGAGACATAAGAGCACATCCAGTGTATGGGCCTCTGTGCAGTTCTTATAGTGTGTGAGCAATATACACCAAAGTGAGTTTCATTGGTAGCTATTCCTGCTAAGAAAAGTCATACCAGGGAATTCCCTGGCGGTCCAGTGGTTGCAACTCCACGCTTTCACTGCTGAGAGGTCTGATAATAAATAAAATTAATTTAAAAAAATAGATTATAGACATAGGTCACATAGACTAAAATTTAACAGGAACTGGAGGCTGATATCAGAGTGAATGATTTAATTATTGCTATGACATAAACTATATTGATAAGTACTGACAACAGCAAAAGTAACTTTGTACTATACAGACATATTTGTCTTTCATGGACAGAGAATGGATAGAA